AGTATGGAGGAAGTGTTTATACTAGTGTGTATAGAAAAAGATCTAGAAGGATAACACGCTAAGTTATTACCCAAAGGAATGTGATTTTTTTTTTTTTTTTTTTTGTCTTTTTCCGTGTCCGGCAATGGATCGCAACCCTCAGTGTTGCCCCCGTACCGGACCGGGGACCGGCAATGGATTGCAACCCTCGGCGTTGCTCCCGCGCCTCACTCAGCCAGTGAGTGGGAACCGGTCTGTATGTGGGATCCGAACCCTCGGCGGGAGCGCCGCTGCGCTTCCCAAGCGGCGCACTTATCCAGTGCGCCACCGGGCCGGCCCAATGTGATTTTATTTTTGTTATGTCTGTGTATGCTAATTTTATGTATTGCTCCTGCAATAAAATATTTTTGAAATAAATTACATAACACACAATTGAAAGATTTATGCCTAATTCCAATTGTAATGTTTCATAATTTTATGAGCTGTGACTATGATGCATTCAACATTTTAAGTTTCTATGAAACTACAGCACTTTATTCCTTTATTTCTTAGGTAGAGAGCCTGGATGTTTTATTTTTATTAAAGAGAATTGAGGAATTCTATGAAAGTAAAGATGGGGAAAATCTGGAAGTTCTTTGTCCAGTTAAAGATCAAGCCTGTGTAGCTAAATTTGAAGATGGAGTTTGGTACCGAGCAAAAGTCATTGGTAAGAAAGTGCACACTGTTTCTGTAGAGAAATGTTATACTTCAAAACTAGTATCATTTGAGTTAGCACAAATTAAATCTTGGAAGTGATATTATTTGGTCTTACTATTTCATGCCTTCAAGCAGTGGCAGTCCAAGCACACCTGGGCTAAGTGTGCCCGATTGTGGGGAACCAAGACTTGAGGCAGGAGCCCCAAGGTTTTACCAGTACCCTGTGCCCCTCCTTTGAAGCCATTCTGCTGTCAAGGCCCAAGTACTCTGGGCCTGTAATCGGAGTGGTGGCCTTGAAGATCTCCACAATGCCTTTGGGGTCATTCTCCTATTGTCTTGATGGACAACATTTCACTTTCTTACATCCATACTCATCTCTTTATCAACTGGTAGCATGGCCATACCCGAACATGCTTTTTCTTTTTTTACAATCTGGCCAGGCTGAAAAAATTCCAAATTTTTATGGTTCTGCTACCCTTTTAATTATAAATTCCATCTTTAAATCATTTCTCTCTTCTCTTTTTTTACTATAAACAATTTAAGAGAAACTATATTTCACCCTCAACACTTTGTGCTTAGAGATTTCTTCTGCCAAATATCCTAATTTATCACTCTAAGTTCTACCTTCCACAAAGTCCTAGGACACGGACATAGTTCAGCCAAGTTCTCTGCCATTTATAACAAGGATGGCCTTTCCTTCAGTTTCCAATACCTTGGTCCTCATTTCTATCTGAGACTTCATCAGAATAGTCTTCACTGTCAATATTTGCACCAGCATTCTGTTCACTACCACTTAAGGAGACTTTTTCTACAGCTCTTTTCTTCTGAACACTCACCAGAATCACCCTAAATGCTCCATTTATGGCAATCTAGGCTTTTTCTAGCATTCACTTCAAAACTGTTCCAGCCTTTCTTTACCTGTTACCCAGTTCCAAAGCTGCTTCCACGTTGTTAGGTATTTGTTTTAGCAACATCCCACTTCTCTGCTATCAATTTCTATATTAGTCCGTATGTGTTGCTGGAACAAAATACCACAGACTGGATAATTTCAAAGTAATAGAAATTGATTTCTTACAGTTCTGGAGACTGGGAAGACCAAGATCCAAGTACTGGCCAGTGAGGGCCCAGTCTCTCTACTTCCAAGTTGGTGCCTTGTTGATGCATCCTCCACAGGGGAAAAATGCTGTCCTCACATGGTGGAAGCAGAAGGGCAAAAAGGGGCAAACTCCATCCATCAAGCCCTTTCACAAGGGCACCTTATCCCAATCTTGAGGGCTCAGTCACCTCCTGTATTGGTCCATTTTCTGTCACTTAGAATACTTGAAACTGGGTCATTTACTTCTTATATCTGTGGAGGATGGGAAGTCCTCGGTTCATGGGGCACATCTGGTGAGGGCCTTCTGGATGGGAACTCTACAGAGTCATAAGGCAAGAGAGCTAATCTGCTCTCTTGCTCTTCTTATAAAGCCCTCAGAACTACTCCCTGATAACCCATTAAACCATCAACCCATTACTCTGTGAGTGAATTGAACCATTCGTTTTCATGATCCAGTCATCTCTTAAAGGCCCCACCTTTCAAATACCGTAATCAGATTTCCTACCCTCTTAACACTGTTATGGTATGGGTCAAGCCTCAGTGAATTTTGCAGGGACATTCAGTCCACAGCACCTCCCAAGGGCCACAACTCTTGGTACTGTTGCATTGGGGATTAAGTTTTGACATGATTTTTGGAGGGGATGAAAATATTCATAACAATGAAGATACCACTTTACTTTTTGGTAAATACATATGAAGCCAATAAAGGCATCTTTTATAACAATAGGGACTTTGCAACTACTTTTCAAGTTAGGCTTCAAAACATTATCCATTTGATGAATAATAAGGCCTCTGAAATCTTTGGGTAATAACATTTGGGGAAGGTACAGTTCTCATGGTGACTTTTTCGGGTGCTATTACAGGTGCATTCATGGTTTAGTTGGCCTGTCTTCCTGTACCTTCCATGGTCCTATTGAACTCCACCTAGAAAATCATATTTGGTTTGGTGAATAATAGCTTTTTTTGTTTTCTAATATCTGCCTCATTGAAAAGTTAAGTAGTGCTGGGAGGCAATTACTTTTCATTCTTTCAGCTTTTTCTTTTGTTGTTTACCCGTATTATTTCTTTTTTTTTTTTTCCTCTTTGTCTTTTTTCGTGACCGGCAACGGATTGCAACCCTCGGTGCTGCACCCGCACCTCGCTCAGCCAGTGAGCGGCCGGACTGTACGTGGGATCCAAACCCTCGGCGGGAGCGCCGCCGCGCTCCCAAGCGGCGCACTGTAGCAGTGCGCCACTGGGCCGGCCCTACCCGTATTATTTCTTTTTTTTTTTTTCCTCTTTGTCTTTTTTCGTGACCGGCAACGGATCGCAACCCTTGGTGCTGCGCCCGCACCTCGCTCAGCCAGTGAGCGGCCGGACTGTACGTGGGATCCAAACCCTCGGCGGGAGCGCCGCCGCGCTCCCAAGCGGCGCACTGTAGCAGTGCGCCACTGGGCCGGCCCTACCCATATTATTTCTTATAATATGTACTACTTCAGTTGATGCTTCGATCTTAGATAATATAATCTATTTATTTCTTATCCTGTGAGATAAGTTTTAGATCTCTTTATAGCCCTTTTGTCATTCCTGTCCCTCCCACCTACAGTTTTTAGTTAAATCTGTACTTGGTATAAATATACTCTCTGCTGATCCGTAAAGTATAATTTGTCTAATTCTATTTTGAATTAGTAGTTGTATCAGTTTTCACTGTTTTCTTTTAATTTGTGGCTACATTTTCTTAATAGTTCAATTTTCCACATGATTAGACTTTTTAGATAGTTTTTTTGTTTTTCTTTTTTTAAACCATGAAAACCTCCTTCTGTCTTCTCCAGTTGGATTGCTTACCCTCTAGGCTTACCGTACACTTGTTATTCTGGAAATTTATTTCGCTGGCAATACACTTCATTATTCTCCTGTATTACTGCCTCCCTTTTTTTCTGGATACCATGGTTACCTCTTCAGTTTACTCCTTTATTTTGGTGGAGCCATCTTTTAATAGTTTCCTCTATTGTATTATAGGTATACAGACAATAGATGGGAGGTAGATTTGAGACCTTGCATGTCTCCTGATTCTGCTCTCATATGTGATTGATTTGGGTAAAAAAATAACTTCTTTAAATTTCATCCCATATCCATCTGTTTGTTTAAAACCATCTCCATTCAAGACTTGAAGAAAGTTAATCTAATGGTGTTGGTAGAGTTGAGAATGCCTTTCTAGCATAGGGATTCCAATGGAAGTGGGGAGATGTTCCTCCACCTTCTGGCCTTATACCTATAACAACATGTGTCTTCTCAATTATTGTAGATATCCACTACGATAGGGCCTAAGTTGTTTAAGTGTTGTCTTGAGTACCAATACTGTGTCACCTGCTTCCTCTTTTGCCAAGAAGCACAGAATACTGGACTTTTTCCCATATTGAAATGATATATTCTGTATTAGTCTTTAAATTTGAAATGATAGCAACAGGTTTCATAGCACTGTACAGAGGTATATAGCAAAAGACTAAAGTCAACCAATTATTTTGAGTATTTTCATAAAGATCAGTGTGTGATAGGTCTTTATTAAAACTAACGTGTGTTCAAACTTTCAAAAAATTGCTTTGAAGTACTATATAGAGACTAGACTGATATAGAGTTCTGTCTACTTATTTTTCACAGTATCACCAAATATGACTTTTTAAAAAGTTTCACAGTTACATATCATTATATGAATGAATCTTTTGCCTTGTTTGATCACCTGTGTTGACTAGCAATAAATATTAAGTGCTTATTTTGTGCTTGGTGCTTTTTAAATAAGCAAATTCTCAAAAAAAATCTTTATGAGATTAGATTCTGCTGGTATACCCATTATACAAATGAAGTAATGAGACTTGAAAGGAAAAAGTAACTTGTTCAGAGTAATGTCTTAGAGATATTAGCTTGCTTTGGGTCACATAGCATTTCAGTGACAGAGATAGGGATCTAACCAGGTCAGACCTGACTCAAAGTCTAATTCTTAACTTTTAAGCCATACCACCTGCCATTTGATAGATTTTGTTATCCTGATTTGGGCTGTCCTTTGAATATCTTAAGACTTACTTCCTCATTCTACCAAGTCTACATTATGGATAATTTTTTGAGGTTCACATATTAGAAATATCTTTTACATTTTAAAAGTATTAAGTTTAGGGCCTGCCCCGTGGCGCACTCGGGAGAGTGCGGCACTGGGAGCGCAGCGACACTCCCGCTGCAGGTTCGGATCCTATATAGGACTGGCCGGTGCGCTCACTGGCTGAGCATGGTGTGGGTGACACCATGCCAAGGGTTGTGATCCCCTTACTGGTCACGAAAAAGACAAAAAAAAAAAAAAGTATTAAGTTTATATATTGAACCTAGAAATATTCTAATCTAGTTGACTGTAGATTAATCTAAATTTTGCTAACTAATTCTCTATTTCCTTTCCAAGTTTATGATTTCTTCTTTTCATGATTTTTAAAGGATTGCCTGGACATCAGGAAGTTGAAGTTAAATATGTAGACTTTGGTAATATCGCAAAAATAACGCCTAACAAGATGCGTAAAATAAAAGATGAGTTTCTGAATCACCCAGAGAAGGTAATCTACTTATTATGAATTCTAGGATTAGAATATTAGCATGAAAGAAGAATGTTAGCACAAATATGGAAGCATTTTTAGAAGTGATTTTCACCATAGAAATGTTGTGTTAATCACCATAGTTTCTGATACGAGGATTATAGGTAAGTGTTGCTGCAGTTACTATTTAAGAAATAATATGTATGTCTTGGAAAATAAGCATTAAGCATAGACATTCTAATATATATGTGTATTTTCTTGTGTATGTATATTTGTGTATTAATAAGTACTTACTAGTCTGCACCTTTTTTTTCTTGACGGCTGGCAGGTACGGGGATCTGAACCCTTGAGGTCTGCAGCTTTTAATATATCATTTAGAGTTATCATATAATGTGGTGAGAGTTTCATGTTCTTGATATATTGAGTGGAAAAAAGCTCATCTCTGAAATATTTTGGTTTTGATCTCATTTATGTTTAATTGTATGTAGTATATGTGTGCAATAGAAAGAGAAATCTGGGAGAATACGTAAAAAAAAACTTAACCTTGCTTATCTCTGAGGAGTAGGATTGAAAGAGAAGATAAGGCCTTATTTTCTCATTTATATTTGCCCATGTTATTTGAATTGTTATTAAGCCATGCTTTTCATTTTGAGAAATAGGTAGTAGTATAGAGAAAAACTTGAAAACATAATAAGCAAAACAAGACAAATAACTCAGAATTATTGTTTAATATTTTTGGCATATATACTTCTAGAATGTATCTTCTGGGTTAACAATTATAAAATCACACTATAAATAGTACTATAACCTGCTTTTGTCACTTAGCAATGTGTCATAAGTATCTGTAACACTTTTAATGAATGCTTGTTATTCTAGTATATGAAAGTGCTGCAATTCATCCAGATATTCTGCTGATTGCAATTATTTCTGTTTATAAAGTACTTTTATAGATATGTCACACATTTATTTACTTCTAAATATGCAATAAATTTAAACTCAAAGATTAGTTTTATACAGACTTACATAAATCTTGATTTTAACTCTTTTTTTTTTTTTCTTAATTTTATTTTGTTGATATACAATGAGGTTGATTATTGTGGCCCATTACCAAAACCCCCCTCCCTCCTCCTTGTCCTCCCTCCCACCCAATAATGTCCTTTCTGTTTGCTTGTCGTGTCAACTTCAAGGAGTTGTAGTTGTTAAGTCTTCCCCCCCCCCGGTTTTTTTTGGGTGTGTGTGTGTGAATTTATTTATTTTTAGCTCCCACCAATAAGTGAGAATATGTGGTATTTCTCTTTCTGTGTCTGACTTGTTTCACTTAATATAATCCTCTCAAGGTCCATCCTTGTTGCAAATGGCAGTATTTCATTCGT